ATTTACTGCACGCAAACACACGCAACATACTTAAACGGGGTGCACTTACGGTAGCCAGCATGCGATGAGCCATAAAGAACTTCTCGGGCGCGTCGCGCATGTCCGTAAACCTTAGCAAGCCGGTCTTCACCAGCTTACGCAGAACATTGGAACTCTGATACGGGTCAGTGGCTGTGGGCACATCCTCCACAGCCTTCAGGAAATCATTGGTCCACTTGTTTAGTTCGCCCTCGTTGGCAAAACTCCTGTAAGATGATGGAAATGAGCCCCTTGTATGAGCTTTGATAGTCATGTACAGAACTTATCTATCATAATTGAGAGGGATAGAGAAGGGGAATCTATTGCTGTGTACTATTCGGTTGCGAAGGTGTACAGGCAATACCACTGTGCACTCGAACATATTGTGTTCCGCTTGATATCCGAGAGTCGTCCGAGGATTTGGACAGAAAGCGCAAACATTCAGACACACACGCCAATGCGGGGGGAGACATCGGTGCCCTTTTCAAACTTAGAAATACATACGAGAATAAGTAGTTGTTAACCTTCAACATAGTACAAAGCCGCCGAATCTCGATAGGATGATACTCCCTACAGGAGCAGTACACTAACATAGTAAATGGAAAGCGATAAATTGACTTAAACACACTCTGAAATTGGATACGCAGGAAGTATCACCATATGCTCGACCTCGATCAAACCTACTACAACAGGTCTGATCAACTACTAACCACTTGAGATATTATTCAATAACCACCAGAGATGTATTCCAAAAACCGCCTGATATATATCTGCATGCCACAGAATATAAACACTTGCAGGGACACTGAGCATTCGAAAATGTTACGGTATCACAACTCTACCCCACTCAAGTAGACTATGGAGCTACAGACAACATATGACAAAGCTTTGACCACAAAAGTGAGTATATATACTCTCGTGAATTATTGAATAGATCACGTACGTGGTGCTCTTGTACTTGAGCTGAGTGAACTGCGGGACCGCCGACGTAGAGCGCAAGGAGTAGGCACATGCAGCCTTTGTGGCTACACGTCCGACAAAGGGGAGGCGATTAGCCAGAACAAACATGTTTTCTGTGATCGAACTGCACAGTGCACACAACACACCCCGTTTTCCAATACAAGTATGCACACAAGTATGTCGTGGATAACTGTCAGCACTTGGCTGTTGCTATTGTTACTATCACTGTATCTGTCAGCTGGCATCTTTTATTAATATAAAAAAGCTGATACATAGGTTTCAGTTGGCTCTGGTTTTATTGTAAATAATTAGAATTCCGAACGATGAGTTGATAATAAATACATTCATGTCATTTATTAATTTATATTATTTTAATTTGTTTACGACGAATTATTTCAGTTTAAATCTGCCCTTTAATAATTGGACTTCCGGCTACGAAACAAGATATGTATTTGAAACATTAATTGACGATTTGAAACAAGAATGACTATTTGGAACAAGAAGTGCCGATTTGAAACGAGAGGAACTTGGTACCATCAAAAATTGGACGATGCTTATTTTTATCACCGACAGGTTTCAGGGTTTGTGACTTTGTGTGGCGTTATTTTTTAATATTTATGCTCCACTGCCTCCCCGTGTTCAATTTCAGGAGGGGACTGTAGGGGTATGGCCCATGTATGCTCTTTATATCTCCCAGTCTAGACTCTAGAGTGACTAGTGTGAGAAGGTACCTATGCACGCTATAGAGTAAGTTACTGCAGTACGAACTCTGATTTTTGTTCTTTATTCTGACACACAGCAACGGGCAACCTGTCGTGTGAGATCAATTTCCGTTTATATTGCATTGAAAGAGTCTCGGTATCAAGGGGTTAGAATATGGTTGTGTGGATTATGCATTTTTACGAAGCCTCGTATTACGTCCGTTGTCCTACTATGTATTGAAGCGATAAATTGGAAGCATGTCCGATCCATTGTGTGTGCGCTGAGAGCAGTATATTAGTGTTTGGTTTTTCATGGAAGATCAAACATGCTAGAAGTTGTTGTCAATTATAGGGAAGGCTCTAACCGATGAATAGTGCAAGCTATGCCACAGACTGTCTTTAAATACGACAGAAAGATTCTCAAATTATTGCCAATTTGCTACATAAGAAGCGTGATTTCTATGATGCTCTACTTCAACGTAGCTGTCAACAACTATTCATCACATCACGTACCTTTCACCATTTGAGCATCTGTTGACAACAGTATGTGATGGTTGGCTACACAGTGTCAATTCACCTACGGGATTCAATGTGACTTTCGTGATAGTTGTTGACAGCTACGTTGAAGTAGAGCATCATAGAAATCACGCTTCTTATGTAGCAAATTGACAATGATTTGAGAATCTTTCTGTCGTATTGATGCACATGGATCATAATTATAATAAGATATGATATTTTGGGGCTTAGACACTGGAATCTGGGATTGAGAATCTGGGAGGTATTTGAGACTTCAAAGACTTAAAACTTGAGACTTCTTGTGGGACTTGAGACTTGAGACTTGAGACTTAAGATGAGACTTGAGACCTCCTGACTCATAGCTTAGAGCCTCAGGCTGTGAACTTGTGATTTGGGAAGTGTGAACGCTTGGGAGGCTGTGAGGCTGTGAATGGTATTGAAAAAAAGAGTTGTGGGCGATGTGCCCGGGATGAGCAAATTATTTTTGATTGGATTATTTTAAAAGCGCAGAGAGTATTTATGGACAAAGTTTTTACACGTGCCAAAAGCTGGTGTGTAATATCTAATATAAGCTTTCGGCCTCATGCGTGTAATTTGGACCCTAAATCACATATCTCTCTGATCGATAGGGAAGTAAAGACACACACTGTCTACTGTTCATCGAGTAACACACACATATAGCAAACATGAGTGAAATGAAACGGAATAAGCGCAAGATGCTTGATAGTGGGCCCAAAAGACGCATTATGAAGGCACCAGAGGGTATGGCAATACCTAAGCATCAACATAAAAAACAAAGACTAACTGCACAACAAAAACGGGACTTAACCAAGAAACGGAGAACGCCAAAGTTCGATGAGGCGAAGGAAGAGGAAGAGGAAGACATCATAGCCGCACAGGAGTTGCTGGAAGGAGGCTTCAGTGAGAATGAAATGGTATGTATTACCGATGTAGCGATGTATCTAGGCCAGGGCGAACTATTCATACTTATGCGTGAATTTAGATGAGATTGTATTCGCCACACTTTGAGGAGATGAGTGTAATTGATTACATAGAGATAAGATCGATTTGAAATTGATACAAGTATGCACTTCCATTCCATATGCATCAAGATGGAAAACGATACATGTTTGTATATATGTATATGTATACGTATATATATATATATATATATATATTTGTTTATATATGCATATATATATATATATATGTGTGTGTGTGTGTGTGTGTATGTGTTTGTGTGTGCGTGTGTGT